TTAATGAAACTATTCAAACAGCAACAATAAGTAATTAGTCTACTTATATACTTACGCAAAAAGGTCATGATGGTCACGGACATGAACGGCTTTTTATCCTTGTCCCCGAAAAGTATTGCTTGGTCCCCTTGTTCTGTGGCAAACTGTTCGAGATGCATTAGTCGCGTCTCATACAGACGCAATGTGCTCTCGTCCAATGCTTTCCCTTGAGTTTTAGCTGCGAGAGCTTGTCCCGCAACAAGGCTTCCAGGTAAAAAACCTGACAAATCGTCTTCTCTAGCCCCCCTTTGCTCGAAGGCAAGAACATTGGGGCTTCGGCCTTTAAAATTAGTTTTTTGTCGAGGCATAACTCACGTGTGAAAGAGTCAAAGTAAAGAAGCCGTGTAAAAGAGTCACTGTAAAGGAAGCCGCTCAAACCGTTTGCGCATGACCGCTTTTTCGATTATACGTTCCACCCGAAACTTTTGAAGTATAATGTATATTGACATCAATGACTTGTTCTTTYTGCTTAAAACGGTATTTTCCGTATTTGGTAAGAACGGTAATTTTATTCTGGGGAGGGCGTGTAACTCCGTAGGAATCCCTCCACGGCTTTTTGTCTATTTTATAGTTATTCGGTGGGCTGCATGTGACGTCATACTCAATCAAAAAATCTCGAAAAATCCAAGAAATTTTTTCTAAAGAGCTCTTCTTACAGTATATCTTAAATATACGTCTAAGTAGTGTGTATGCAAATTTTCATACGAATTCAACGCTTTGGTGGCGAAACACAAAAGTTTTAGTTTGTGCGGAATTTAATTTATTCTACCGTAGATTGTAAATAAAAACTTCGAGATTAGATAAATCATTCTTTCAACTCCGTAAGAACTTACTTGAGGTAATTTTTCTCTGAAATAAAGTCATAATTGACCAAAATTTACAAAGGAAACCAGTTTTTAAAGTTAATTTGAAATCAGGCGCCATCTTGGATGATCAAAGTTATCATCCAAGATGGCGTCCCTATACATATTAACCAAATTTTTCAAATCTTTATTCGATTATATCTTCATCGAAAAGTAAGCTACAGGACTAAAAGCTCGTATTCTAGATAATYTGASTRTGCKCTTTRTGACTTGCTACTTGGTTTTTGAAAATAACGAATAATAACGAATGATAAATTTTCACTTCAGGGGGTGCAACCCAAGATTCAAAATGTGTTCAAACCTGTGTTCAAACCTCTCGGTTATCAGCACACCAGGGGACCATAAAAGGGCTTAATGAAGGGTTGTAGCAGATGCAGATCCAAGATTTTTTAAGGGGGGTGCACTAAATTGGCGAGAAGTTTTTGGCGGGAAATTTGTATGACAGCTTAGTTTTATGAACACATCAAATATAAATTTTACACTAAAATTAGTGAATTAATTAGGAAAATAGCTTCACCTATTATTTTTTTTTTTTCATTTTAGAAGATTTCTTTGTTTAAAAAAAAAATCACAAAAAACGGGGGGCTAATATAAGTGTCTAAGGAGGAGGCTAATGTCATGTCAAAAACCTT